AGGCAATTGCTGGAAAGTGATGATATGATTCTTTGCTTGCATTACATGTTTGCTCTGCATACTTTATCTTCTTTTCCATATTATCTGCTTCTTAGTGACAGTATTTTTGACAGCCTTGACATCCTTTTGTACTTGGACAGCTTTGGACAGTTGTTAGTTCAGTTTGAACCTAGTTTGAAATTGTGACTTGCATTGTTCTCTTGGTATATTCAGTAACTACCCAGTTTTCCTTTTTGGTTGCCCACTTGGATTTATGCAGGATGTTTGAAAACTTGGATTTGTATAATCATAACTTTTGTGCATTTCCTACCTTTTGCAAGCATTTTTCATCCCTCTCTGTGAATCGGGAGAAATCTCGTGATTTGCAGAGAGGGCAAACTGATTCCAGTCAGTTGCCTTTAATGATGAACTCTATATCTGTCTGTCTCTTTAAATATTTATCTGTTTCTAACTTTTCTTTTTGTTTCTTATTCTTTGCAGACAAAAATTGAATGGAGAGGATTTAGTCAACAGATGAAGAATGAAGAATTGAAGATTTAGAAATAATTAGGATAGTCTTATTTTAAATTTAATTATTGTAAAATCATTATTGTAAACAATTTGTAAACAAAACAATTGTACAAATAAATTAAAGATAAATAAAAACTCTTTTTTATCCAATTAATTCTTTTCTTCTTTTCACTTGTTTACTTTATTATCTATAATTCTTTAAATTAAAATAATTGAAAATAAATTCCAACTATTTAATCTTAGAATAATAAATAATTAAATAAACATTTCTTCAGCATTGATCAATTAAACTTGGCGCTTCCAACGTCCAAAGCAAAACAACAATCAATCACAACAACTGTCCAGACGTATTTTCTTTTTATTGACTTTAATCAAACACTGCAAATTCAAACCCAATGCATCCTTTCACTGATTTAGTCACACAATGCGAATTCCATCCAAGTGCATTTTTTTACTGATTAAGTCAAACAATGCGAATTCAATCTAAATCTCGGAATATCTTGCAAAGCACCGTAGAATTAAATCTTTCTGAGGAACCGCGCATGAAAACCCTAATTTTGTGATTAAATGCCAAAGAAGCGTTCGCCTGATCGAAGTTGAGTCAAAATCAACCAAAACTCTGAGCAAAATGTTTGAACTGTTCTAAACCCCTCAAAACTAAAGAAAACCCTAATTTTGTCTGACTGACGAGAAAAGCCTGTTTGACCGATTCTTGAGCCAATCTGAAAAATCAGGAAAAGCCTGAAGTTGTGATTTCTTGTGGAAAAACACGAGGGCAAATTTTGGGGTACAACAAAGTTCATCTATAAATAAGTTGCTCCATCACACTTTCAAAGGGATGGCTTTTGAAGGGAGAGAGAATCATCAAAAGAGAGAAAAGAAAACTATGAAACCTTCGTAAAAATCCAGAATTCCCAAACAAAAAATCAAATCTTTGTTCTTCCCTTTGAATCAAAGAACTTAGCATTTTCTCTTCCGTTGTTCTTGCTAACTCCAGAACATCTGAAGGCAGCAGTTCAAGTTCCAAGCACACGCTTCAGATTCAAGGTAAGTCTTTCAGACTTTGCATCTTTTCATTCAGAACATCATTAAAATATGTAAATATCATAGTATGGATGTTGTCCATATCATTGCATAAGTAGAAAAAATTGTGGATCATAACTTCTTGATTAAGGCTAGACTCAAAATTAGGATTAGAACTTCAATAAATTGTTGTGCTTTTATCTTTCTGATTTTCTGTTTGTTAAGAACTGAATAAATTGTTGATGTGCTGATTAATATGAGGAAAGAGTTGAAATGTAGCACAAAACTTCTGATTTTCACTCACGGTTTTAGTATAACACAGAACTTTTGGGTTCTCCTCACTATTTTAACATACAGAACTTCTATGATTTTCTCACTATTTAAACACACTGAACTTCTGATGTTCACTCGTTGTTAGCACATACTGAACTTCTGAGTTCTCTTCACTGTTTTAATAAAATCGAACTTCTAAGACTTTCTCACTGTTCTAACACTCAGAAGTTTCAACACATAGCAATCCATAACTTCTGTGTTTTCCCTCTAACATTTCTTGCAGGACCTCAGAGTGTATCAATCCAAAACTTCTGACGTTTCTTTCTGAACCACAGCGCTCCCGGCATCAGAACTTCTGATCCCCTTTATTTTGCTTTCAGCAGCATGCTAATTCTATCTCTCATTATTTCCTTTTTATCATTTTCAATATTAATACCCTTTTTATTAATATCAAAAAGGACATAAAAATATTTTCTCTTTATTAATTAATTTATTTCTTTTTCTTAATTCATTAAGACAAAAAACCATTTTCAAAACAAGTCATTTTTCTTTCTTGCATTGTACATTTCAATATGGATGTAATAGTTAAATAGGATTTAAATTCTTGCAACCCCCGTTTGTAAATTTGTACCCCCATCCCTAAATATTGTAATAGCGTAGGACTTTATATTTCCGCAATTTATCGCTTTTCAAATATAAATGCTAGTAATTAGGATGTGTATGGCAAGATATGAAATCAACAAATAGATAACCCTAATCAAGACTAAATGCATGTAAATGAAACACACTTGCACACTAACACCCTTAGGGTAATCCTACTTTGTTGCCTTTCGAAAAATAGTCATTTCCCTCGAATATGGGCGTTTTAGCAAAGACCCTCGATAAAAGATCGTAGTCCCTCGATGACCCTCAATGTTACCTTTGGTAAACGATCTAGTCCCTAAAACGACATTGTTAAAATGTTCCATAGGTTGCCTTCTATGACTATACAAACGTCCCGTGCCCGTCCCTTTTACATCCAAAGATAGAGTTACTTACCAAATCAATGGTAAGATAACAATGTCAAAGGAGAGAGGAAATAAACATGAAAGACTTTTGAGTAGGTAGATTGTTCCTAGTTGCTTGCTCAAATTCAAAAAAACCAAAAACATCCTTGCTATTTTCAAAAAAAAACACCAAACACTTTCAAAACATCTTTCAAACTTGAAAACATTTTCAAAAGATCAACACTTTATATACATTCTTACGAACGAGAATCATTACAAAAGTTTGCCTAAACAATGGCCTCTTTTACAAAATACTTTCAAAAACCATACAAAGCACACTTTCAAACAAAAGCAAGTGATCTAACAAGCAACTAAGAGCCCATGGAAAATCATGGATGAAAAGGGTGCTAATACCTTCCCTTTTCATAATTTACCCCATGAACTCAAGAAATAATCTCAAAGGTCTTTCCTGTGCTTTTCACCTTTCCTTTTGGATAAAAGAAAAGTTGGTGGCGACTCTTGCTAAACCGCAAAATTTACGATCAAGCGCAAAACACCTAAGTCAGTTCTCCCACCGTATCACAGTGGGTAATCGATCGTTCAGTGGTATTGTGTTCGTGTTCCTTTTGAAGGACAATGGGATGAAGATCTTCTGGTGGAGTATTATCTTCGCCCCTTGAGTCACGGGGTAGAGAATTGTTACCACAATGATGAAGGAAATGCCTCATAGGCAATTCTTGAGCTCTTGATAGTTATGACGTGATATCGATAGGAGGATCCCTCGGCATGGCTCAAGAGGCGTCGCGTTGCAACACCTCTATATGTGTTGGCGTGTTTCTATCTAAGTCAGAAGTTTCTGTTGGTTTTCTTCCATGTGAAGGAGCCTCGTATTCTGTTGTTGTAGTAGACTGAAATTGTTTAAAATGAATATGTTCATATATGGTGCTCCGAATAAATTATGAAGCGATTGAAAGTCATGTACCAGCGACATGAAAATTTATGTGGTTGAGGGAGATATTGTAGTGGATGAGGTGAGAAATGAGGAAGCATGAGGTAATACTGGAACAAAGGAATTGGACAAGTCTCTTGAACTATCCCTTGAAGAAATAATGTTAAAGCTTAGAGATCTTATTGCTGAGGAGGTTCTTCGCGCGCGAGAGAGAGAGAGAGAGAGAGAGAGAGAGAGAGAGAGAGAGAGAGAGAGAGAGAGAGAGAGAGAGAGAGAGAGAGAGAGAGAGAGAGAGAGAGAGAGAGAGAGAATCAACAACATGTTGGCTTGAAAAATGTAACAATTGATCGAAGATCACCAGTCTCGTTTTAAGTATGAACTGATATCGAACTGACCACTAGAGTAGATAACATAAAGAGTCATTATGAGACCGTTACAGTTATCAAAAGTCTAACAAGAAACAGTTGTGATTCTGCAACGATGTAGATATGAGAAAATCAATGTAGAATTCGAAAGAAACAAAAGACGATTCTCATAGACAACACCACTATTTCGTACATGAATAAAAATAGGCAAAAGGTTGAAAACAACAACTATAATGAAGCTTCTAGTACAATATTTATGATTCTTTGGTGATGAGAGGGGTGGATGCAATGATGAGAGAGGTACATATAAAATATCATTACTCCAACACTAAGTCAATTTTTAAATGAAGGAAAACTTTACAAGTGTGTGTAAGAGAATACTTAGGTGTGACTCAGAATCACACTCATATAAAAAGAGTTTGTTAGAATCATTCTCAATTGATTCAATTGTAGAATGTGAATGACTATTAGAAATAGATCAACGACTAAGATGATAAAGAAAGTTGTGCTCACATACGATGTTCGAAGAATAAAAACTCACCCCCATATTGAGGTTATATTTTTCAAATTTAATTGTTAATTTAATTTTTATCTTTAAGTCATATATATGTAAACTTTTTATAAATATAAAATTGTCAAATACAATACATGAGACAAGAACACGTCTTTTAAAAAACAAAGAGCACTGTTCGTGGCGGCGACGGCGGCGAGAACGCGACAAAAGCCACTCGTGACGGCGGCAGTGCAAACCCTAACAAGAAACCACTGTTTGTGTCCTTCAACTTCTTCGTTTTCTTTTTCATTTTTCATATACATAATAACAAAATTATTACTTATTAGTTTGGATTTTGAATTAGGGTTTCCTAATATTGTTTTTTTCTCTCCATTTTTTCCATGAAGATGAAGAATTCCACCATTGCTGATGCATTAGAGTTAGTCGCAGCAGTAAAACTTGAATTTCATGATAAGAATAGAGAAAAATACGAATCTTTTTTACAAATTTTGAGTGATTACAAAGCTCAAAGAATTGATACAAGGGTTGTTAGATTAAAAGTGTATCAATTGCTGAGAGGCCATAAAGATTTAATTTTGAGATTCAACACCTTTGTGCCAACTCAATATGAAATCAAACTTCCATTAGATCGTTACGATAAACAGCAACAATGTCGTCGATTAGAGGTAGAAGATGCATTAGCTTTTATCAAGAGAGTAAGAGATGTGTTTCAAGTTGAGAATAAGGAAAAGTATGATGAGTTTTTCGAAATTCTGAAGGATTTCAAGTCTCGGAGAATTGATACAAGTGCTGTTGTGGAGAGAGTGAAAGAGCTGTTTAAAGGGCATACAACTTTGATTTTGGGATTTTATGACTTCTTGCCAACGGAATATCGAGATGATGAGCTTCGATTAGAGCAAAAAGATGCATTAGCTTTTGTCAAGAAAGTAGGAGATGTGTTTCAAGGTAAGAATAAGAAAAAGTATGATGAGTTTTTAGAAATTCTGAAGGATTTCAAGGCTCAGAGAATTGACACAAGTGTTGTTGTGGAGAGAGTGAAGGAGTTATTTAAAAGGCATACAAATTTAATTTTGGAATTCAATGCCTTCTTGCCAAAGAATTATCGAATCACACGTCCACTTCAGCTTCACACTGGTTAGTACTTGACATGTGTTGATTATTTTTTATGCAGTTCTTTTGCACCAACATGCCTTAAACTTAGTTATCTAGTTGTATAAAGTGTCTTTATATTGGTCCATCTTTGGTGTATTGAGAGAATTGGTTAGTTCTTAACATATGTTGATGATGTTTCGTTTATTTATTTATGCAGTTTTTTGCACTAATCTGCAGTAAACTTAGCTATCTAATTATATGAGTTTCTGTAAATTGGTCTGTCTTTGTTGTATTGGGAGAAATGGGTGGAATGAACTTTTAACTCAGGGACTAATTTGATGGTGTTTTGCATGATTAAGAGATTAAGTTGCAATTTTTTTCATTTATGGTTAAGTGGGCAGGTCTCTCGAGATTTATGAGTAATCTTGTAAACTGGACCGTAGTTTAAACACAACTTGTAATCTGTGACCCTAAGCTTGGATTATAGAAGAGTACTGCAGCCACTCTCCGGTTTAAAACTAGGCACAATTGGCCGTACTCTGATCAAATCTCGCGTGTTCTTTGTTTGTGCTTTCGTATCTGTGTTCATTTGAACTAGATCTGTTGTTCTAATAACATCGCTGAAGAACTAAATTGGTGACAGAAATATTTCATCTAACAAACTGATGGAGATACTATTGTTTTTCTTCATATCATTTTCACTATTTCAATTTTTAGTTTCATCAGTATTCTAGTATCTTTATACTATCTTTTATGTTTAAGATTTAATCTAAATTTTCCATTTTATCGATGTGATTCAAAGGGAAAAAAATGAAGAAGGTTGCAGAGAACTGTGAAATTCCTTGGGACCTGCTTGATATCATCTCCAGGAAACTAGACTTTGACGACCTCTTTGGATTCGCTGGTGTCTGCAAGAGTTGGAGGGAATTTCATAAAATTTATTGGAGAAATTTCATGGCATCCCAAGAACCATTACTTCTTCAAAAGTCTTCCCATGATAAAAAATCTTTTTCCTTCATCAGCATACATGACCAAAGAGTTTATCACTCAAAGACAATCGATTGTTTCTGGAACTTGGCCTATTCTGGGTCTTCTAGCGGATATTTGATCATGACAACCGAGAATAATTCATTTATACTAATGAATCCATTTACAAGAAAAAAGATGGAAATCAATACAACAGCCTTTAAAGTCGAGTTTTCTGTCTTTGCTTACCATGTCTTACTTGCTTTTGGTAAAGGCTTGGAGGAATTTGTCTTAGTGGCTTTATGTAGAAGTTCTAACAGTTTACATGTCTATCAATCTCGAAACTCTGATTGGATTACTTATTCGACAAGGGGAAAACCATGGAAGGTTGTTGACTTTGTTGTTTTGCATAATACTATATATGCTGTAACCGACAAGGCGAGGATAGGTGTACTCAGCTTGAATTCTGCAGATATAAATTTTTTGAAATTGAAGAGTACTCCCAAGGTAACTTCTTCCTCACACCTAAGATTGGTTAGTTGTGACAGAAAACTTCTAATGATTCATATTTTGCCTCGGAGAATATTGAATGTGTACGAGATAGACTTGTCAATCAAGAATTTCGTCGAGATGAAAACTCTGGGCGACATTGCATTATTTTATGCTTCTGGGAAATACTTCTATGCGTTGAGCAACCCGGAAAAATGGGGCTACGAAAGCAATTCTTTGCATGCCATCAATCTTTCATCTACACAATGCATAATGTCTATAGGGAATGATAACAAATTGCCAGAATACATTAGCCATGATAGACTAAGTAATCCTCCTAAAGGAAGACCCTACTTGTTGGATTGGTGTTTTAAACATCTACACTATGAAGTGGATTATTCTCTTGTTGAGTAACAAAACATTGTTATACATTGTGTAACTTGTGATTTTGCGATTGGACTTGGTTCCTTTTGTTTGTCAATTATTTGAATAGACTGAAAAAACTTGTCAAAGTTTATGGTTTCAATATTAGAAAAGTAATGAGATAAGAAATGTAGTTGAATACTTTCTTGATTATATCTATCTATACTAGAGGAGTGTTAAACACTTACTTTTTTTATTAGTTGTAACATGCGTGAGTCTTTCACTTTAGAAATAGGTATCTCATAAATTGGTAGGACCCACACATGTTTCAAGGAATAAGAGAGTCGGTGTTTGAGAGGGTGTTAAAAAGAGTGTTCTTAATATTTTTTATCTGTACTATTATGTAGTATTATATAATTCTATAAATTAATTTATAAAATAATAATTAATTAAATAAAAATATTGTTTTTAAAAAGTGCCAAACCCCATGTATATTAATACAATTACTCAATTAAATAAATAATAATAAATAATTAATTAACTAACGGTCATTAAATTTAAAAACCCCGTGATTCCAATAATTTCCATGTTGTAATCAGGTCTATCTATTTTACTAGATTTAGGAAATTGATCTCCTTATTTTAAATTTAAACAATTTTGGTCAATTATTTTAAATTTAAATAATTTTAATCTTTTCTTATATTTTTGTACTTAAAATTATGAATGTTATCTTAATATTTTGATGCTTTTTGTATCGTATTATATCTTTTTTTTTAGTTTCTTTATTGGTCCTCTCTCTCACACAAGTAAAATTATTTTCATGTATAAAATAAAGTTTTGATTAAAGTCAAATTTTGATAATTTGATTTCAAGGCTTTCATGAATCGATTTAAATTGGATATCATGATTGAATGGATTTAAACCCATTGTAAATCGATTCATAAAGGTGCATCAAAAGTCTTGTTTGTCTCCATTTATGGAAATCGAGTCAAATGTTAGTTTGATCCATTTTAAAAGGCTGATATGAATCGATTCAAAAGTTAATATGATATGATTTAAGAAGTAATTTGAATTGATTCAAAATTACTTTGATGCTGATCATTTTCAAACTAACTTCCAACATTGGAATTAATTTATTTTTAACTTTAAATAGGATCATTGAAGGTTATTTTTCTCATTTTAGAGTTTTATCTCATGCACGTATAATTAACTTTTTTTCATTCTAAAAATCATTAAGAAATAAATAAAAAAACACATTTAAGACTTTATAGTGTCCTTTACTATACCAGTGTCTCTTATTTTTTGACACAACATAAAAGATCTAGGCCTCATGCATATGATGTCGCAACAATTCTCTTTATGCACTAGATAATTCATTAAATCACACTACGTCTACACTTACTTTGTGGAGAATAAGTGACTTGGCTATGCAAACATGTTACTTTGTGGAGAATAAGTGACTAGACTATGCAAACATGTTACTTTGTGGAGAATAAGTGACTTGGCTATGCAAACACGTTGATAAGATTTGAATCAAATGCAATGCACAACATGACAACATAACCAATATGTTGCCTCTTTTCCATCTCTTTTTTAGCAAGATTTAAAATTTGCATTTGAATAGGCATTCCAACATGAATAGTTTTATCTTCATCCTAATCGTCTTCATATATTATTTCAATTTGATCATTAATGCTTACTTCTCCAACACTATCTAAATTTAACATTACCACCATACTCATACAAGCATCTAAAAGGCTTCCTTATTTAGCAAAAATGAGCAATTGAATAAATGTTTCAATACACAGTACATGTATTAAAAAAATAAAAAGGAAATGACAACGAAAGTTTTACTACTCTAAACACAATAACAAAATAAAACAAATTATCTCCATTTCACACAAAAACAAACAAACCATAACTTATCAAATATATGTAAACCTCTCTTAGCTTAAATAAAAATAAAATTATAAATAAACAAATTTTTTTGTAAAGCATTGCATTACAAAAATGATTAAATGACCTTTGTAAAGCAACATCACAAACAAGTTATTAACTTCACTAAATCTAGCCAAACTAATTATAAGTACAAAAATCAGATTCATCTATATTTAAGAAAAGAAAACTACATAAAAAAGATTTCATAATTGTTAGTTTTTATTAACTAAATTTAATGTTGTGCTTTTAGGTTTGGTCTTGATGTGGCAGTTTGGAGATCCGAGAAGTATAGCTTAGGAATAAATGAGTCTCTTTTCAACCTCTCCCCTAATTCTATCAAGCAGAAGAATGGTAGGTGTGACACGACTTTTTTCTTAAACACAACAACATCCAAAATTATTAGTAAATATTCCAAAGGATGGATCTAAGGCCCATTAAATATCCAAAAACTTGCATAATACTCTTTTCTCCAAGCATAATGTTAATTTGTAATCAAGAGAATAATGAATGTTATACATGAGATTAGAGTTTTCTACTCATCACAAATCACAATGTACAAGGAATCTTTGAATCAGAGATATATCTTTGCTGAAACAAATGTTAGTTTTACAATGAATAACCTTCTTCAAAACATTGTGTTTTGATATCCTGCATTAGGCGTTGAAGTAAAGTGGGGTTACTCGAAACAATACCATCAACCTGCTGAAACAGTAGCTTTTCCATGGATTCTGCATCATCAACAGTCCATGCAAAAACCTTTTTTCTCCTTCTGTGCAAAACTTTCATAAGCTTTTCGTCAATCAATGGGTGGTAGACACCAACAACCTCAGCACCTTTCATCCTCAATAATTTTGATCTAGCCCCTGTAGAAGGTTCCATCATGACTATATAGCCAACCTGCATTATTCCAAACTAAATCGTGTCGATGTTGAAGTTGACAATAAAACCTAAGTAAAAGCAACTTCTGCGAGGCAACAACAGAAGATTTTCATAGGTAAAATATTCTATTCATAAAAACATCAAGTTTTGCAAATGTAACTAAATGAATTTGCTTCTTACTGCAATTTCTGATGAGAGTTTAATGACGTCCCTTGCTAAATTGTCACTTTTAGCCCATATGAGGCAGTTTTTGCACCCTGTCTGCTCCACCTGTAATATTGACACTTGGAAATTACATGGTTGCAAAAGTATAAATGTTTAAAAGAAATTATCTTATATTAGTATCGGAAGCTGTTAGAATTTTGGTTGAGTCTCGTTCAACCCCTATAAAACCGTCTTGTAAGGTGACACTGTCACCACTTATATGTGCGTTTTTAAGCCTGATCTCATCCAATGTAGGACCCTTAACATAATCTATGTGTGAGTTCTACCTATGTAACATTGACACGGACACTGGACATGATCCTGACAGTGACGTTGACACGGACACTGGACATGATCCTGACAGTGACGTTGACACGGACACTGGACATGATCCTGACAGTGACGTTGACACTGATAATAATTTAAGAAAATATAAAATTGAATGAAATCACATGTGTCAGTGTCGTGTTAGAGACCGGACATGCCTTCGATCCAAAGTGTCGGTGCTACAGAGAGTTGTACCATCGGGTATTAACAAAAAGTATACTTGCTAATCTGATGTTAAATGAACAAGAGATGCTACATTGGCAGCTAAAAGTGGTGCAAAGTATGCAAGGGTTCTCACATTTTAATTTGATGGATGTTGGTAAACAAGTTATAGTTAGTCCATCAGTTGCCGATTTCATCATTAAGACCACCTCATAACTTTCTTTCTTCCTTTTATTTACCCGCAAGCCATGAAAGGCACAAAAGAATGTAGTCAGTATTGAAGTCATGCTATTACGACAACTAATTAGGAGCTATTGAAGTTATGTTAGACTTCCGAAGAAAATAAAGATGGTAGTAGTGCGCATGTGTGTCACTTGATTTTGAACTTAAGTGGCGATGCACAGGGAAGGTAATATGTAAAAAAAAAAAGGAAGGTCCATACTGAGAGATAAACACGAGGAGGAATTCAATTCATCATAATGGAGAAACTAACATTTCAACTAGAGTCAAGATAAAAGGGGGTTTCACTTAGGTTTTCGAACTTGGTTTTTAAGTTTGTGGCAGTAGTCTTTGATTTCAAGCTGAAAAATACATTTTACCCATATGGAAATTACATTTTGATAGGAACCGACTAGTTTAATATTGTGCTGAAAATAGGGGGGAAATCCCTAATTACCGATTACTCCCGGAGTATTCGAAAAACTTTAGACTCTCCTGATTGCCTAAAAGGACCCAAGTCTGTAAAAATGACAAGATCGAACATTCTCTAAGGCTCTCTTCTTGTTAATAGGCAACATGCCTTATTTCCCAATTACCTAACTATCTTATTAGGCTATTAACAGAACATAGGCTCACTTAGGACCCTGCCTATCACATTTAAGATAGTTTGGAATTTGGATAAAAAAATTATGAGATTTTCAACTAATAGTTTTGCACATAAGTTGAAAAAGCTTTTGCAACTCAATTTTTTCAAAAGCTCTCATATTTAACTTCTCCATAAGAGAGAACAAAGAAAAAATAAGAATGCAAAGCAGAACTAACTTCTACATGAGCTAGAGCCCGTATCAACATGTAACATTCAACAGGAAAGGGACAGAAACATTATACTTACAATAGAGAGAACATCTTTGGCAAGTCCTTTCTCATACAATGGGGGTCCAACTTTAACATCTAGAATTATCTGTCGTACAGAACTTGCAGCCAACTAGAAACATACAATGCAACTACAGTTAAGAAAAATGTGAGATAATGTTGTATAGAGTAAACTATTCATTCATCCTCATCAAAAGCCCCTCCCCTTGTGAACCAAACATAGATAATGTTATCTCCCCTCCCCCTCATTTGAACCAACAACTGCATTAGGGAAGAAAAGGAATAGAATTTACTGAATGATAAGTCATACCATCAGAGCATCTTGAATTGTGGTTATACTTTCATCATTAATCTTCTCAGTAGATTGGTGTGAAGCACTAAGCTCTCTTATCTACAGAAATAAAATGAAGACACTTAGTCAATCATACTTGTTTAAGCATCTTGAACTGTGGGTATACTTTCATGATTAAAACGCATGTATCAATTGTTTTAGAATAAATGATCGCATATAATGAGTTTTTTTCTCTACTTCATCCGATGTACTATATAAGATGCTAGTTTTACTCCTCTACTAACAAATCTAGCATGCGACGAAGAAAGCAAATTTGAAACCACAACATGAAAACAATAGCAGCACCTGTTTTGAGCTCATATGACCAACTCTAGAACTAGTGTTTCCAGACAACCGCTGCAAATCCCTGCCTGCATCATATGATAATTAATCTCAACAATGACTATAAAGCTACCTCTACATGAAATGAGATTAGATAAATAAAGATATAAAATAAGAAAATACATGATCTGTTAAATTTTAGAAAATATTTTCTATATCCATGTTCTATTTTTATGAATTGAATGACTATAAATGCAATGGCAGAAGGTGCAAAAAGAAATTAGCATAGTAGTCTAAATTCCAATAATACCTCACTATGCTGCGACTTTTTTTTGGGTAGAAACCGGATATCCTCTACGCCCAACTGCAGAGACTAATCTCTCGAGTCGGGAGGACCACAATGAGCATTGTTATATGGTATCTTAAAATATCTAGTGATATTATTTTATTTTATTTGGTAAAATCTGATCTACTCTCCTTACCATAGACTATATCAAATTTTCTCTCCACATGTCCAAACCAGCTAAGTCTATTTTCCACCCTCAAAGACGTAGTAGTCATTAAACTATTTTTCATTATGAATCCAACTACATTTCATTATCTTCTAACATCAATTAGTTATTAAACTATTTAATTATCATTAATCGTCCACAAGATTACGTTTCAAAAGTAACAATATCACATAGATACATAAAAACAAATTCAGAAGAAAATTACCTATCATGAAGAGCAAACAAAACTCCGTCCGAAGAACGAGAAACATCAATCTCGATACAGTCAACTCGAGAGCTAAGAGCAGAGTGATACGCAGCCATCTATAACAACATTCACGTTCACATTTTAATTCAAATTTCAATTTCAATTTCAAAACGAAGAATTCGAGTGCAGAGTGTTTATGCATACGTACGGTGTTGGGGAATGCGACGGAGGAATCACCGCCGTGAGCGCAAACGAGAGGAGGATTTTTCACCCAACCGCATCGCCGGAGTTGAATCTGGTTGAAGCGACGGAGGCGGAAATGGAAGAAGATTGGAGGCAAAATAGCGAGAAAGATGAGAGAGAAAATCATCACCTTCCGCGAAAAGAATCTTCTAGAAATTGATTTTGAGTCTCTTGATCTTGATTTTGAGTCTCTTGATCTATGCAACATTTTGTTGATACTTGATTTTTGAATTTTGTGAAGATGTGGATGGAGAAGCAGTGTAAGCAACTAAATTATCTCACCTATCTTTCATACTAAGAATAAACAAGGTTATTCTCTAAATTACCTCACATATATTTCTCGTATAATTTATGAAATAAATAAAATCACAATTTAAGAGTGTTAGATTTATTGTCATAAATAAACTTTTTCATAAAATAAAACTCATAATATTTTAGTTTCATCAAAAGTTAAAATTAACACTAGATTAACAATCAAAATCATCATAAAGGGAACATAATTGTTAATTCTTTGTTTTTATAGTTGATATTATATTTGGTAAAACTAATATAGCAGTAATATGTTTTATAGGATGTATTATCTTGTTAAGGAGAACAAATTGAGCAAGAAGTCCTATTTTATATTGAGACATGTTGAGATGAGAAACTCTCATCATCTGGAGCAACATGTTGGATAAGATGTTCTATGTAGGGTCATTCGACATCGCTTCTTTGTTTAGCTAGACAATTGGATTATGTTATGATTTAACAGATGTAGAATATTTTGAGAATATTGTGTTATCCTATGCGGCGTTGTTTGTTAGGTCTGGAAGATTCAAGTCAGAATCAAGAAGAGTATTGAAGAATATTGACTTTCTAATTATGAAGATAAATTAGGAAAGATTTGCTTGAAGACCTATTTTTATGTAGAAGATTCTGCTGATTTGTAGCAGCTAGCTGATATGCTGTGATTTGAAGTCCAAATTCAATTGAGAAAAAGGTTATAAATAGAAGCACTGTAACCTAGAAGAAAGTATCATCAGTGAATGAAAAGATATAGTTATTAGGGATGAGTCTGTAAGCCGCTCTCTAGGATAGTTAGTATGTGTGATCCACTTGACATGTGAGTTAGATTGTGTTCCTTTAGTTGTAAGGTTCTGTTATCTCTCTTAAGCTTTTAAGCATAGAGTTGTTTATTGTTCTTGGAGGAAGCTTTTAAGCAACTCCAAGTTGTGTTCTTAGTCAAGAATCTTGGCTAGGTATTGTCATAGAAGTGTGTCTTCTGGTTTTGCATCATGGAAGTGTGTCTTTCTGTTTTAATCCAATCGTTGTTTGTGATTGATGAGGGAGTTGAGGAGGACCTCATACCTAAGCGAGTCTTAGGTAGAAAGTTAGTACGGGTAATGATTAAGTGAGAAGTTGTAAATGGGGGGAGTTTAGCTTTAAATTGGTATTATTATAGTGGACTTTATCCCTGGCTTGGTATGCCTCTAGAGTAGGAGAGTTTCCTGGCAAGTAACTGTGCCAGACAAGACTTGATCATTGAAACAACAATCTTCTCGTATTCTAATGACATTTCAACTGAAGCCTCTGCTCAGGAGTTCAAAGTTGTTAGGGAGAATAATAATCATTGTATTTCAATATACTTTTTCCATGTATTTACCATTTTCTAAAAAAACTTTGTAATCATCCATGGAGTCACGTTATTTACAGACTATCATTCTATTAATAAAGTTTGAGCCTTTATCCAATTCTTTGTAGTTCTTATTTTATTCTGTTTACAAAAATTTCATTTATTATTGATAGTAATTTTCAAAACAAAAAAGACTTAATAATAAGAACATGTTTTTGAAAAGAATTTGCAAATTACTTTTTACCTCAATTATGTGATTCAAGTAGGACAAGAGTAGTGGTTCCAAGAATGGACGAGCTCCGAAGTTTTGAAAAGATTCCCCAAGAGGTATCCCAAATTACTCTTGCTGATATGCGCATAGTCCACTTGTGTTTGTTGGATTTCATATCAATTGAAATATGGTGTGGTGTTAGGTTTGTAATCCAATTTTCCCCAGTTAAGTCTTGGTTCTGATTTTCTCCAAGTTGTTATATGGTGTTGGGTATGGGTGCTTTGTTACCTTTATCCCATATTCTGTAGTCAGGTCTTGATGTGGATTTCTCTAGCTGAGTGTGATTCTTTTCCGAGCTAGGTTGTGATCAAGCGAAGATTGTAAAGTTATGAGTACTTTGCTCATTTGATGGAGTTCTTTCTCCCTTTGTGTGTTGATAATTGATGAAGAACCTCTTGCAGAGCATTGTTCTCTCCTATTATGACATTGCGGTTATTGTGTGCTCCCAGGTAGCCAGACAAAAGCAATATCATTTTCTAATAAGTGTTGAGACAACTGTCAACCTTTTGGGTTTTCTCTCGCCAAGTATTGAGTTTGACTTAAAATTCCCATAATTTTGACTTCTTATTGTGATGTTAACTTCTAAATTCCCCAAATGAAGCAAAGATATGCTTCCTTCTAAAGTTGTTATCCCCGAGAAGTTTCATAAATTCTCCCTAGAGAAGTTTGCACGACCACTACCCTTGATATTGAAGAATGTATTTGGGCTCCACTCGACGATGTGGAATTGTCTTCCCTAGTGAAGTCAGTACGGAATTCTCAGTTGAAGTCTAGACGATGTAGCATTATCTTCCCTAGCGTAATCTGTATGATATTCTTCGGTGAAGCCTGGAAGAGGGTGTTATATGCTTGTAACTGTATGATATTCCTTTGATTATTTTTCAAGCCATGTTTCTTCTCAGTGAAGTTAAGACTTGAAGTAGGATTTTGTTTCCTCAATTGGTGCTTACTTTCTTATGGAATCTTCATCCTGGATGTGATTTAGCCGAGTGTTGTCTTTACCCAAGTTGGTTTTGTCTGGTTTTTCCCAGTGCAGTATGTCTGTTTTGTCAGCATGTACATGATAATATTCATACATTCATACACATCATGCATGGTTGAATTAAAACTCATTGCTCATTTTCATTCGTTGATGTTTTTGTTGGCATATTATCCTATTTTTAGAGTTATGTTATCCTCTCTCCAATAGAGCTTCAAATTTAAGAAGAAAGTGTATATCTTTTCAATTTCCTCAGAGTTATCTCTCATGGAAGAATTTTGCTTTAGCCTCCCTACCTAGCTCGTTATCTGGATGGAATTTGATCCCCATTTGAGTTTACTCCTCATTGGTGGTGTCTTGGTTGACTGTTTCACCCTGGATTGTCCCTGGTTTGAATTTGTAATCCTCGACAGCAATATTATTTTGATCCCTGTAGTTTGTGATCCCTGGATTGGGAATGTGTATTTATTTTGCACGTGAAGACTTTATCTCCTCAGCAGGAATGTATTGATATTTCTCCATGAAATTAAGATTCATTTCCCAACAGTGTTATCATAACAGCAAGTGGCAGTCTCTTTATTTTAGCAAACTGTACTTCCCCAATAAGTCTGTTAATGCCAGAGGAGATGTTTTTACTCCGATGAATGGTAGCATCTTTGTTACGGGAAATAGTTCATTGTTGAGGTTTTACTTGGATGGATGGTTGGTCTTTTCAGTATGACAAAGACAGTTCATTGAAAGATTCTTACATAAGTTCTTACCCTTTTCAAGTGATGTCTTGATTGAAGAAGAAGTTAAGACTCGTTCTAGGTGGAATACCAGAATTTTGGGAAACTTGTTATTGTTCTATGTTTTTTATACCTTAACCCTTGAGTTGATAGTTCACTGTCGTTCATAGTCGGCATTTATCTCTTTTTCCTCATTGGAATTTACTCCAATAGAGTTGAGTTGTTCCCAGCCATAAGCACTGATGTGAACCCTTGTTCCCAGCCATAAGTGTTGATGTCAACCCTTTGTTCTCAGTCATAAGTGTTGATGTCAACCTTTTGTTCTCAGTCATAAGTTCTGATGTCAACTCTTGTTCCCAGCTATAAGTGTTGATGTCAACCTTTTTTTCCCATCCATAAGTGTTGATGTCAACCCTTTGTTCCCAGCCATAAATGTTGATGTCAACCCCTTGTTCCCAGCTATAAGTGTTGATGTTAATCCTTTGTTCCCGACCATAAGTGTTGAAGTTAAAACTTTATTCCTGACCATAAGTGCTGATTTTAATCCTTTATTCATTTCCATAAGTGATAATGTCAACCCTTTGTTTCCATCCATAAGTGTTGATATCAACTATTTGTTCCCAGCCATAAGTGTTGATGTCAACTTTTGTTCTCATCCATGAGTGGTGATATCAACCCCTTGTTCCTAGTCGTAAGTGCTGATGTCAACCACTTGTTCCCAGTCATAAGTGCTGATGTCAACCATTTGTTCCCAGCCATAAGTGTTGATGTCAACTTTTGTTCCCAGCCATAGGTGCTGATATCAACCCTTTGTTCTCAGCCATAAGTTATGATGTCAAACCTTTGTTCCCATCCATAAGAGCTGATGTCAAACTTTTATTTCCAGTCATAAGTACTTATGTCAATCATTCGTTTACTAGTCACAAGGTTGATGTTCACCGTCATCTCTGAGCCAATATTATCTTACTATTTCTATTCACATCCTCCAGGTTGGTAGTTTCTGATCCCATGTGAATCGATGTTACTCTTTTTTTTGCTATCTCCTTTATGAGTGGGTAGTTCACAGTTATCTGCCGATCATTGTTATCCTTTGCTTTTTCCTCATTTATTGAGTTGGTGATACTTTACTGAGCTTTACCCCAGTAGAGTTGAGTTTCCTTTTCCCCAACAGAGTTGATTTTCCTCCAATGGAGTTAAGTTTTTGTCCTCATTCGAGCTAATAATCCTTTCTTAATGTTACCTTCTTGATAGTTTGTTGCTTGCATTGTTAAGAGCTTCCGTTGTTGAAATCTTACTATGTATTTGGATTCTTTGATCGTGGTTTTGGCTTTACATGTTTATGGCCATCCCTAAAATCATGTTGTTCCCCAACGATTTATTTTCCTGGTCGAACTTTCTTTTTGGTTTGTTGGTTTTATTTTTTGCTTCCTTAGTGGTGTTCTATGTCACCTTTAGATTTGGTCGTTTGCATTTATAATCATAAGCATTGCATGGCATCTTAGGGCCAAAAATATGGTTTATTTTGTATTTAAGAATCTTCAATCGCGTCGAGATAAAGATTTTAACCTTCGTATCTCCGGATAGAAGACACTTAAATAAGGGCAGCTGTTATAACCCA